GGAAGATTTCTGCCTGCTGGGAGGTGGAGCCCAGAGAAGGCTCTTGGGGGGGAAGAATTCCAGAATCCACCCCCTCCCCCCACCCACCCACGGTCTCTGTTAACCCAAACCCACAACATGACTCATCTTTACCAGCTACCACTTCCCTGCAGGGAGGAGATGGGTCACATTAAGAGGGCATATATAGGGGGTATATATAAGCATCTGCACCTGTCAGGAGGTAGGACTACTGGGCGCGAGCAGCAGGTAGGAGGCCTGAGGCTTGGGTGACAGGTGGAGGGACATCTTCAGGCGCTTTGTGGGTGGGGGTTGTTTTGTTATGGGAGATCGTTTTTGTGGCAGGAGAGAGAGAAGTGGAGGAGCCCGGCCGTTCAGGGCTCAGAGTTCTGGAGCTCTGCTTCAGTGCGCTAAGGATCAACGTTGCCAAGCTAGCGTCTCTCACATGCTGACTGCTTGGCGTGGTGGAAGGCACAGCTCCCTGAGAGTGGGATGGCGAAAGGTGAGATGAGCATGTCCTTTGCCTGCATTACTGTGCACTGATTTAACAGTGGGGGTGTCCCAGGAATGTCATACGGTCTCTTCACTGTGTGTTTAACTAGAGGCTTGTTCCTTTGCAAGGTGCAGGCAGGAATGACTCTCTCGTGTCTGTCCTTTCAGGATCGTTCACCTCCTGATGGAGCTTCAGGAAGGGCCTTCTAATCCAAAGCCCTAGAGCCCTAACAGCAGTGAAAATGAATGGAGAGAGGTTTTCCCACTTCAAATGTACACACATCAAGAATGACCCTGTGAATCCTTTCACACCCTGACTGTGTTCAAATGTAATACAAGTTGCCCAAAATCTCACTGTATACCTATTTGCCTTGCAATAATTGCAGTTAGAAGTGTGGGGGAATCACTGTAGCTCCCCTTTCAGATGGAACCGAGAATTTGCTGTACTATATCAGGTTCTTAATCTAACTTGGTATCGCCCTTGGATTAGGTAGTCAAATGGTCTGATCTAGGACAGATGTGTCTAATTCTGCAGGCTGCTGCGTCTAGGCGAATGTACCCATTTCTCACCATTTTGCTACGTGCATCCAGCTCACGTTTTAGAAAGACAGAGGCCCAAAGGTCTTTCTTCCCGCCCCATATTGCAGCAAAAACTCACACTGAAGGCAGCAAGAATTGCAAACATATCATGAGAGAAGAACAGAGCCCTGTGTGAATGACCAAACTGGGTCATCTGGTCTGCTGAAAACCCTATACAAGTAAAAGCAGCAGAAATTAAGGCTTCTTTTGTCTGCACTGCCGAATGGTCCACTCCAGGGACACTGGGGCAATTTTCACCTTCTGCTGAAGAACTGAAACAGGATCACACATTAAAACCAGTAGACGTTATCCCAAAAGAATTGATTTCCTGGGTGTGGGGTTGGCACTGGTGAATTTCACACCTGCCCATTTCTGGGTTAGAGGAGCGAGAACAAAGAGACATCTGCTCCGGCTCTATAATAAACAAGCTGTGTGCGATATTACTACATACATTTAGAGAGCAACCACCACCATGCTATCCCTGGATAGAGACAGCAAAGAACATTGTCTCAGCAGCAGGCATGCAAAGTAAAGCCCGTCCCTTAGAAAGACTAGAACCCAGGCTGTCAAAGGCCAAAGCTTTACCCAGCAAACCAGACACAGTTGTTCAAGTTGAGTTTTATTATAACAGAATGCAGCTAGTGTACAGTTCAACAGTCGACTAGGGTTATTTCTTTGAGAGAAACGCAAGTCATGTTATTTACATCACAGATCTTTAGCAAATCCATCACACGTAGCAAAGCTATATTCTGGAAGGAACAGTCCTATACTCGCAGGGGGGATAGAGAGAAGGGGACTCAAATCTCTAATTTCTATGATTTAGAAAGCCAGGAATATGTTTTGAAAGCCCTCATGTGTGAAGACACTGGAAGAGATATTGCTAGCTGGAAGCCGAGCACGTGTTGATGGCTGTCTGCTCCCTAATGAGGCATTTGTTCATGAAGACAACAGTTTTGTCAGTGGGATACAAAAATTCTGTACATCACAGCAGGGACCATAGAGATCTCTCCACCCAGCCCGCAACAGCAGATTTCGCTCCCTGATGAGCATGTCTGAACTGGTACCTTTTACAAAGATGGGACAATTAATAACTAGACAAAGAATCAGTTCTTCTGTGCATCAGCAGATTCCTCTCTCTGCTCCATTTAATCCACATTTAGAATTACCAGCCCAGATGTTTGGTCTTCCTCATATACACTGAAACCTCTTCCACTGGATGTCTAGTGTTCTGTTCACTGTTCAACCACGCTATAAAGCAATGCCATTAAGATGGAGTAATCCCCACAGAGATTAATATTTCACTGGCTCCTAGGATCAATGAGTGTGGTTACCAGGTGACTGTTAGCACAGATTTCAGTAGGGGTCTCACTGGAAATGTCGTCTCCTTGATTTGCGATGTGCAGTAACTCAAATGCATTCTACAGAGACTGGCAGTAGAGGAGAGTACACACATACTGGCTTCTAAGAAAATTCAGCAGGGAACAGATGGTGCTTAAAATGAAAAATCCTCTTGGATTGACAGAGTCCCTTAACAGGCCTAGGTCTGGAGACATTAGCTGCAGATCCTGTACAAATATTCTGTTCATCAGAAGTGATATGGAAATTTAAATCAAATGCTAGATTCATTAGGAATGTGCAAGAAGCCTGTATGCCCCTCCCCTAGGAGATGGAGGACCCAAAGTGAGACAAAGAACACAAGATGCAGAGATTCAGCAAAGAGTGCAGCAACCAACACAAGCCACCCGACCCACATTAAAATGTGCCTGGTTCTTTTAGGCTGAAGTGGGACAGCAAAATCTGAAAGCTTTGCCTTTCCTGGCCTAAGATGTTATTTACTGTGCTATTTAAAGGACACTCTCTCAAGTAGCTTAAACCAAAAATGGTTTCACAAAACCTGGGATTAATAGGCATATTTTTAATACAATGCCACTGTAAGTGGTTTTCTCTTTTACATTTAAACATTTCTCTGTGGTACAAGCCGCACGGTCAGTGCCTGACAGACAGGAAGGGAGACAGCTATAGTTTAAATGCAGAAAAATAAAGCAGAGGGAACATTCACTTTCTATAGTCGAGGTGTCACTAGTAATTAGTCGGTAACGTTGGGATTGTAACAGCTCAAACAGGCCACTGAACAGCCAGCAAATCTATTTTATGTATCAAATCTATCTACTTATATGGCCCCCATTACTGGGGCATAGGAGCATCTCACCATCTTTAACATCCTCACATCACCCCTGCGAGGTAGGGAAGTGCTATTATTCCCATTTCACAGGTGGGACACTGAGGCACAGAGAGATTAAGCTTTTTGCTTAAAGTCACACAGTCTGTAGCAGAGCAGAGCATTGAACCTAGGTCTCCTAGGCAAGCACCCCAACCACTAGACCATCCTTCCTCTCATAATCACACACACACACCTTACTATCAGAATGCCTTGCCCCCAGCCCTATGGAGAGCGACGGCTGGATTCCCATCATGCAACTCTCACAGGGATATTGCCAACTTGAAAATCCCATTTCTGTCTCAAAGTTATCCCTTATTATTGTTACAAGTGACACCTAAGAACACTCCATGTGAAAGAGATTCCAGGAAAGTGTTGGTCTTCTCAGGTTATTTCACTTTGTGCATAGTCTGTTTCACTGATTTCCTGTATAGCTGCTAGTCAGTTTCCCCAGTTTCTGTGAATCTTTCAGACAGCCATGAGAAAGACAAAAATTGTAAACACTACCATAGAAATAGGATGGAAAAAACCACACAGATTGGCAGGGAGAGCTCCGGGTAGGCAGGGGTAGGGCACCAAACTGCTTTTAACTCCTATTTTGAAATCAACTCAATTTTAAACTGATGGCACCCCTTTAAATTTTGAATCCATTTGGGGGCTGGCACTTTTCACACAGACTTTGTTTTTCTTTTCTCACTTGATTTATTTTCCTCAGAGTGTAAAAAAAAAAAAAAATGAATAAAAAAGTCTAGAGAGCTGTAAGAGGGAAAACAAGGTCCTTTGATAGTTTCTCCATCATCCGAGCTAGAGACATACATCTAAGACAGAGGTAGGCAACCTATGGCACGTGTGCCAAAGGCGGCACGCGAGCTGATTTTCAGTGGCACTCACACTGCCCGGGTCCTGGCCACCGGTCCAGGGGGCTCTGCATTTTAATTTAATTTTAAATTTTAAGCTTCTTAAACATTTAAAAAACCTTGTTTACTTTACATACAACAATAGTTTAGTTATATATTAAAGACTTATAGAAAGAGACCTTCTAAAAACGTTAAAATGTATTACTGGCACGCGAAACCTTAAATTAGAGTGAATAAATGAAGACTCGGCACACCACTTCTGAAAGGTTGCCGACCCCGATCTAAGACATTTATGACAGTCAGAAATAAGGCTCTTTCCTCTATACGGCCACATGATCTCTGTGTCAGTAGGCTCCCCATGCCCACCAAAGTAGTCACTCAGAGGATCTGTGTGCCATGCTGAAGGGAGCAGGCTGCAGGTGGAGTGAAACATTCAGTGCTGAGTGTTTGCGTGCAAGTCTTTGAGAGTCAAACTGAGCTGGTGGGGTCACAATGGTGTGATCTCCAAGGCACTAAGGGCTTCATTCTGCACCACTGCAGTCAATGAGAACTTTGCCATTGATTTTGATGGGTGCAGAATTAGGTCCTAAGTGAATGTGGGAAATGGGGTGGGGGCAGGGAATGCTGGAAACACTTTGAAGAAGTTTGCCGAAGTGGGATCTGGCTACTTTCCTGGCTAGTGGCATCCATACACCAACAGCTGTACGTAACCACAGCATCCAGTGTTGGCCATCGGTAGAGACAGCAGACACGGCTGGCCGGACCCTTGGTCTGACCTGCTTTGACAAATCCAACGTACGCTATTTGGCCTAAATTATGGATGTTGTGTTCATGGAATAGAGAGATCAATAGCCAGGCAGAATGACAGCATGTGCTGTGCAAGCTTCCTGCCAATTCTACCAATGCATCTCGATTTTGCCCTATAGCAGACCCTGGTAACCATGGTCTGGGCGCCCACACAAGTCTGCACCTCAGTCCTAGCCTGCAGTGCCCCCAAACCTCTCCTGAGCAGAGCCTGCCAATTGTGTTAAATTCAGTGGCAGTTTGTGATGTTCACAGAATGGGGATGGGGAGGAGGAGGGAGACCCTCCCAAATGAGTTTTCACTGCTGAATCTAAGCAAGGAAGTAAACCCCTGGGCTTTACAGGTGAATGGCTGATGCACCAACCCCACTGAGCCACACACCTCTTGCTAATTCCCTGTAGGAAGCCAGCACAGATCTGCACTGTGACCTTCCTGGAATTCAGATGCCTGAAAGGACCCACCCTTGCAACATACAGCGCTCTCTAGACTGGGAAGGTGAGCAGCCTGCAGCCTGTCCATTGCCAATCCGGGCTGCTCCGGGGCACTGTTCTCTCCCACACCCTGCCCATGTGGGGGCTCACTCCGGTATGTAGTCCCTGAAGGAGTTGAAGCTGAGGCTCCGGCCACCAGAGTTCAGGGTGGAGTTGGCATGCATCTTTGGAATCTTTTCCATCAGCTTAGACACGGCCCTCCTCTTGAAGGAGCCCGGGGAGAAGTGCCCCTGTCTCATCAGCTCATTATACAGGGTGTTGAACACCACCACGGTCTCGTCGTAGCTGTCCCTGGTGGAGATCTCGTAGAAAGGATGCTTCAGGGCTTTGGAGAGGTTCTCACCATCCTCACAAGACACCATCCGGTCAAACTGCAGGTCCTTCTTGTTGCCAACAATCACCACGGGCGGCTGGTCACTCCCACAGCTCCGCTTGGGGCTCGAGTGGATGTGGTTGATGAGGAAGCACAGCCTCATGACCTCGTCGAAGCTGCACCGGTCGGTCACAGAGTACACCACGGCAAAGCCGTCGCCCCACTTGATCTTCTCCTCGATCTGCAAGGAGTCTTCCTCCTAGGGAGGGGAGAACAGAAATCACAGCATCACCACCCGAGGCAGCTTTTTAATGCAATGAGCTCAAAATGTTTTACCAGCATTGGACCACCTCCTGCTTTCGCTCCCACTGGGGTCAATGGTAAAACTCAACAGTGCGCAGTGCCCTGTAATACCATTCTGGGGTATCAGTGCTGATTCGAGGCCGAGGGGCCACCAACATCACCTCTTGCAGAGTGGTCATTGGAGGCTGACCATCTAAGCATTGACCCAGTGTGACCCAGCTTAGCTTGTGACATCGGATTGGCAGCAGGCCATTGTGCAGTAATAATTAATTTACAGGCAGCCATGCCAGAAAGCCGCTGGGCATCTGTCATAACTATAAAGGGAAGGGTAACAGCTCTCCTGTGTACAGTACTAAAATCCCTCCTGGCCAGAGACTCCAAAATCCTTTTACCTGTAAAGGGTTAAGAAGCTCGGGTAACCTGGCTGACACCTAACCCAAAGGACCAATAAGGGGACAAGATACTTTCAAATCTTGGGGGGGAAAGGCTTTTGTGTATGCTCTTTGTTTTAAGGGGTTGTTCGCTCTTGGGACTGAGAGGGACCAGACATCAATCCAGGTTCTCCCCATCTTTCTAAACAAGTCTCTCATATTTCAAACTTGTAAGTAAAAAAGCCAGGCAAGGCGTCTTAGTTTTACTTTGTTTTCTCAACTTGTAAATGTACCTTTTACTAGAGTGTTTATCTTTGTTTGCTGTACTTTGAACCTAAGACAGAGGGGGGTCCTCTGAGCTCTTTAAGTTTGATTACCCTGTAAAGCTATTTTCCATACTGATTTTACAGAGATGATTTTTACCTTTTTCTTTAATTAAAAGCCTTCTTTTTAAGAACCTGATTGATTTCTCCTTGTTTTAAGATCCAAGGGGGTTTGGATCTGTATTCACCAGGAGTTGGTGAAAGGAAGGAGGGGGGAAGGGTCAATTTCTCCTTGTTTAAGATCCAAGGAGTTTGGATCTGTATTCACCAGGGAATTGGTGAGAGGTTTCTAAAAGCTTCCCAGGGTAGGGAATGGTGGCAGCGGACCAGAACTAAGCTGGTAGTTAAGCTTAGAAGTCCTCATGTAGGCCCCCACACTTGCACCCTAAAGTTCAAAGTGGGGATACAGCCTTGACAGCATCTTAACAGGAAATAACTAAACATGATCACGATGCAACATGCCTCTCGCAAACAACCCTCCACAGCCGTTAGCAAATCAAAGAGTCTGTGTGTGTTCTCGGTGCCTGCGTTTACTCTAGCTCCGTAGCCACATGGTCCCTCAAGCTCTATGTGTGGCTTGTGTTTTCATCCTCCCTAGTCTAGCCACAATACTGCTGCTATAGGGCTTGAGCCAAGCCCACTGACGTCACTGGAAAGACGCCCTTTCATGTCTGGGGACTTTGGGTCAGGCCCCAAGCCACCTTCCTCACCCACTGCTCTGACCACGTCGCCTTCCTCCTCCCCAGCCCCTGCACTGGCTTCCTGCCTTTTACCACATCGAGTTCAAGGTCCTTGTCCTCCCCTTCAAGGCCCTGCATAATCTCACTCCCGCCCACAACTCCACTGCTATTTCCTCTTCCTCTCTGCATTCCTCAAAATCACTTAGTGTTGCTGCCTCCTTGGTCTCCTTTGCCCACCCTCTGGCTTTCCCCTCCCCTTCCTTTGCTCTGTATTCAGAGCAGCCTTCCACCACTGGCCAGCCATAGGGCCCCCCCTCTGCCCTTTCAACTTCACCTCTGCTGCTGCTGAGCTGTTGCCTGGCAGGGACGGGGGCTTCTCGTCCTGTAAAGTGCAATGTACATTTACAGCATGCTGTTAAAAACAGCAGCAATGCCCAACGGGGTCAGGAGGTTGGGTTAAAGTGGTAAGTATATCTGGGTAAATGTAGACAGGCTGGTCTTAGGTAGCCTGCCTCTGGCTACCCAAAGTGGGGTTATGTGTCCCTCAGCACAGGGGATCACTCTTCTCTTCATCTGTGGGTATTGGATATTTCCAAACACTGCAGATAAAATGGGGCTGTGTTGTACGCAGCAAAAGAAAAGAGAGAATATCAATGGGCAACTACGAATTATGTGGCTGAAATCCCATCAAGGGGTTCTGGTGAGGTCAGAAAGCACAGAAGCAAAGCTGGAGTCCCCCAGCGCATCCCTCCCCCGTGCCCCAAGATGGAGTCACAGCCTCACCATTCAATATTTCACACATGGGAGAGAGTCCTGGATCTCTGTCTGGCATAAGTGCTGCTTTCAAATCTCTTCTTCCACTGGTGCTGGCTTCCTACGCTGTTCCAGTCAGTGCCCCTCCCTGCCACCCTGGTCTGCTGCTGTCAGATGGCCTTTGCTGGGACCGTTCAAGTGACTGTCCAGCAAGTGCCAACACTAACTGGTTAAGCCTCATAACACAGAGATGTGCACCAACTACCTCTCAGGGCAGCTGCAGCACATTCCCAGCTGCAATCCATCTGTCCTAACGCACGTATGGGGCCAACAACACCACCACAGACTGAAAAGACAATGCTCCACCCGTGGGACCATTTCTGGTTAGTATTTTCTGACATTGATTGCCCATTAAGCGGTGACCGTGACCGTACCTGTCCTGCTGTGTCGAGAATCTCAAAGTGCACCATCTCCCCATCGATGACAGCCGTGTGTCTATAAATCATTTCTGTAGGAAATAAAGATGCATGAGAACTCCCTGATCCCTGCACAGAGCATGAGTGGATTCCACTCCGCACAGTCAGGTAAAGAGCTAAATGAGAAGGCACAGATGACACAAAAGGGGGACTCAGAAATTCTCTGCTCACTGAAAAGAGTCATCAGCCTGCCCATGACACAGTAACTGCTTGATGCACCAAACTGAACAGGCAGACTCTGAGCCCACTCTTGGTGCCCCCAAAGCTAATGGGGACTTTGCCAGTGACTTCAAAAGGGAACAGGGTCAGGACCTCTCCTAAAGGAAACACTGTCAGAGCGCAGCCTTCTCAGTAAAGAAAACATGACACACAGAAGTGAACAGTGCAAAAAGCTGCCATTTTTCCTTCCACACATGGTTCTCATATCAAACGCCCAAACCTCCCCTGAGTTTAGCATAAGCAGGTTCTGACAAGTCTTATTAGTTCATCTTCACCCAAGGGCATCCCTCTGTTGTCTGAGATCTAGAAGGTGATAACAGAGCGTGTTGGGTCAGAGGAAGGGACTTGCATATCCTGTACAATCTTTTTATACATAAATCTGTTTGTGTGGCATGTGTTTTGGCAACACTTTCCTAGCTCCTTTTCCTATTTGTCAAAGAAATCTGTGTTTTAAAGACTGTTTTCTCTCTTGCAACGCACCTTTGCCCCCAACCCTTCGCCACGTCCTGCGGGGAAGTCAAAAGGCTAGATTTCTGTTGTCACAGCTAATTCCGTGACAACCAACTGTAATGCCACAAAAACAGGACAGTGATGCCACTACAGGATCAAGCAGCCCTGGCACTTAAGTAGGGTGACCAGATGTCCCTATTTTATAGGGACAGTCCTGATATTTGGGGCTTTTTCTTATATAGGCTCCTATTACCCCCCACCTCCTGTCCCGATTTTTCACACTTGCTATCTGGTCACCCTACACTTAAGGGAGAAAAGCTCTTATTTCAACAAACACAGGTATCTTCAGTAACAGCCATGGGAGCACAGAAGCATCTCATTCAAATCTCATTCCTTTATGCCCACCTGTCAATGCCCTCGCCCCCAAAAGCCCTGACTACATTAGAGAGTAATATCAATGTGTGTCTATAATCCAATTGATCTAACTCCTATTGCGTTTGTCTACACTAGGGTGACCAGATGTCCCGATTTTATAGGGACAGTCCTGATTTTTTGGGGCTTTGTCTTATCTAGGCGCCTATTACCTCCCACCCCCTGTCCTGATTTTTCACCCTTGCTGTCTGGTCACCCTAGTCTACACTGTAAGCGCAGCACTGTTGGAAGGTTTTGCCTTACATCCAGAGTAGCACTGTTTTGTATTGGTTGTGATATGCCACCTTCTGGGTATGGGTCCCGGAGTTCCCGGCACTCCTCCCTGGTGTGCTGCATTCTGGGTAATTTTTCTGCAAGGACTGGTGCAGCTTGGGATCGCAGTGGGAGAGCTATCTGCACTGATTTTTTTTTTCCATTTTCAGCAAATGGAAAGTTGAACCATCCATGTGAGATTCCTGTGGTGCTTCTAAGTCCTCTGGAGATGGATCCCATCTGCCCCAAACTAGCCCCACACGTGGCCCTGGCCTCATATGCAAGGCCATTGAGCCAGGGACACAGACAAGGAAGTAAAGAAAAAAATCCAAGCCACATCAGCAGACTTTGTGCCGTTGGCAATGCAAGGGTGGGAGAGACAGCAGTGATCAGTGGTTACAGACTTCTAGGAACAAAAGGGATAGGAAGAGAATGAGGGCGATTTCATTGCCAACAAAGAGGGACTTAAAAGCTATAAGAGTCCTTTCAAGCTATTTTTAAAAATAATTTATTTTAATACTGCTGTTCAGCCCCACTGGCGCTGCTAATCCACACCCTCTAGCTTGCCTACATTCCGACTCATATTACACACAAATAGGATAGGAGGAGATCTTGCTTTTCTAAACAAGAGATAAAAGTTGCACTGATGCTTGTATCTGCACTGGTTTTTCGACATAAAATATGGAGTGAAATGCTTAAAGCCTCACTAATATCTCCAGGAAATAAATCCCACAACATCTTGCTTAGCAACAACTCGGGGGGGGGGGAAAGGAAGAGAGAGAGAGAGAGAGCGCGCTATCTCCAGGATTTCTCTTCCCCATTCTTTATTAATAGAAATATGTGTATGAAAACAGGATATTTGCCCCTCCAGAGTCTATATCTTCTTGCTTCTGATTCCAAGAGACAGCATGGTCCAGTGGATGGATCATAGGGTGGACTCAGGAACACAAGTGTCATGGGAGCTGCTGGATACTTGGGACTTTTAAAAATCAGGCTCTTACTTGGGAGACTACAGATTTAGGGGTCTACCTTTAGGTGCCAAGGTTTGAAAATCTTGGCTTTGAATGCTATTCCTGCTTCTGCCATTGATCATTGGGATAATACTTGCCTATGTACCTTGTGACAGGTTGTTGTGGATGTTAATTAATGTCTGTCAAGTGCTATCAAGGCTGAGCATTATTTCCCATTTGTTGGTGTCGTTTTCTGGTTTGTGACATCGCAGCTGTTGAGTCTTTGACCCTGCCCCAGTGACTGTAACCTTTTCCTCTGGCTGCCCAAGTCTGTTCACACAGCTGCTAAAGCCATCTTCCCTCCCAGCCCACCTGCTCCTGTCCCTGAATCCCTCCATTGGTTCTGCACAAAACTCCACTTCATCCTCACCTTTAAGCTTTGTTAAATCTCACCCCCACTTACACCTCTGCTCCCAATCCCCCTAGGTTCCGGTGTTCTTCCCAGTCCTCCTCATTTCCCTTTCTCCCCTATTCCTTTCTCTAAGTCTCAGACTTTCAGGCACACTGACCCCCTCCTGCCCCGTTTCTCCTGTCTTATTTGGATTGTAAGCTCATTGGGGCACGGAACCAGCCACATTTTCCACAGCACCAGGTATATTTACGGCACTGTTTAAATATTTGGTAACGTTACAGAGAGCAACTCCAAGCAAGGGAATAAGCAGCAGGCAGAGGGGAACTCCCAAAGGAAAACAAATTTACTTTTGTACTAAACATCTCTAGTCTTAACAAACGTGGGAAGCAAACTCAAGAAAGTACAGGACGGACAGGGAATTAGCAGGGTTGTTTGATCTGAGTTTTCCACTAGGGATCAGCCATTTCTTCAATGAAATGCAGCAAGGCTGAGAAATTTCCAGGACACCCCCCCACCCACCAAAAAACCCCACACTTGCACATGAAAACACTGTCCAGTGAATAACATGGACTCAACAGAATGACCTACATTTACAATGACTAGTGGTTTTTGGGTGCCCAACCTGACACACCATTCAGTGGGCCTGATTTTCAGAAGGAGGGTGCTCAGATTGGACACACCCAAATACGAGGGCATTGGAAATCACTCGGCCCTTTTGGCTCTGTGCGCCGAAAGCCTCTCTCCCCAAAAAACAACCCTGAGGCCAAACTGCTTCCGGATTACTAAGCTTATATTTAATAGAGCAGTTACTATTCTTTGTACAGCATCTAGCGCGATGGAGTCCCTCAGCCCCACCGTAACACAAATAAATAATAATAATATTATTAAATACTTGCTTACCTAGAGTAGGGTCATAATCCCCAATGAATCTCTTGGTGATGAATCTCACAGTGAGAGCTACTGGAGAAAAAAAAAACACCCCCCCCCCCCCCCCAAAAGTCAGTTGTGATCACCAAAGCAAACTCAGTAAAACACTGATTAACTGAGACAGGAGGGCTCTGATGAGTTTGCTCCTCTCTGGAGTGAGGACACCCTCCAATCCGGAGCACAGGCTGATGGCGGCATGCCCTGCTGGGCGCTGCACAAGCAGTGGGAGGAGGTTTTTGATCCCAACCAGGTATACTAGTACCTAGGTTGTGAGCCAGTCAGGATCTCTGAAGAAGCTACTCCAAAGCGTAACCATGAGCATCAATAAACATTGTGTAACAAAAATAGAAAACAGTCTCTCTCCCGCACCTGGCAACGCTGCCACCTGAAAAGCTATGGGGCAGGGGAGAGCATATTAAAATGGCAGATTGGCCAAGACCTACTTCCAGTATGCTGGGAGTCTGAAGGCTGAAAACTGCAAGACTTACAGTAGACAGACTGGAAAGGATCTGAGGGTAACTTTACATTGACCAGCAAGCAGTTCTCTGCCCAAATCCAAAGTCGGGACTTGCCAGTGTGTGAACAGAAGAGCAGAGACAGCCTGACTGGGCCTCTCTGCACTCTGATTACCAGAGGAACTAACTAGAACTAAGAGGTAGCCTAGCTGCTTCCAACAGAGAAGTTCACAATATAGCCAACAGTCTGTTCTCCTGAGTGGTGGATGAGAACTGAGTTGGCATTGCTCAAAGTTGTTTTTATACAGGAGCCACTTTACAAACACAGATCCCCAGAGCAGAGGTCAGATGTCTTTCTAAAGGATATGCTCTAGTTCAATCGCAGATTGCTGGGCTGAATGCAGGAGTCCCTGGGTATAATTCCATAGCTCGTGCAATTCAGAAAGTCAGATTGGATGATCATAACGGTCTTTTCTGGCCTTAAAATCTATTGAAAGTATCTAACCACACAGATGGACTAAATACTGGCCTAACTTACACCCTGGGCAATCCTATTGATTTCAGTCAGAAATGTATTTATGGGGTGCTTCATAGTGCTTCTCTTAAGCCTTGCATTTGTGCACAAATATTTCCCTCACACCCAGATGCAATATCAACAGAAAATGAACCTGAGTCAATATACAGCAGTACAGTGGCATTTGACAAGTTCCCTAAGAGCAGAGAGATCACAGAGACCCAGAGCTTTTGCTTGTCAGCAATTTCACATGCTTGCTATTTCAACACCCGGTCCAATAGTGCAGGTCACATTTTAAAATAACATTTCATAGCTAACCCTGAGGAGTCACATTGATTTCAATGGAGAGAGGTTTTCACCCACAGATTTTTAAGACCAGAACAGACCATTATGAGCAATCTAGTTGACCTCTTGCATAACACAGAATTTCACACAAAAACTCCTGCCCTGAATCTTATACTTTGCGACTGAACAAGAGCATATAATGTAGAAGCAGTCAGAGACTATTCTGGTGAGCACTCTAAAATACAGGTCATCGTAATCCAATATGCTTTTCTGTATGTGTGATACTTGCAAACAGTGCTTTGTGGCCCCGATCCTGCGTGTGCTTAACTTTATGCACAGTGAGTAGCCCAAGTGACTTCAGTGGGGCTATTTATTGCGCATGAAGTTCAGCATGTGCTTACGCTTTGGCAGGACAGAGGGATCTTGATGTATCACATCAGCCTAGATGACATAACTGTGCAGATATCCCGCCCTTCCTGGAGCAATCTGATGAATTTCCAATACTGTTTATTGCACGTTTTAGTCTCAAGTTAAATATATCAAACGCAAATTGTATCATCTTGTATATTCACATTCAATAGGTCAAAGGCTCAGCACCACAATAGTTGTAAAATGAGACAGCACCACCACATTTGTATTTTATTTAGGAAATTAGAGGAGCTTGGCAAACAAAGGGGGGGGGGGGGGAAGATAGTTCAAAGCTAGGTTCTACCTATACTCGGCAGTATCCTTTTAAAATGAGACGTACAACGAAACGACTATTAAAAAATATTTACGTTTGAGAACGTAGTGGAGGGTGGGGAAGAGCAAGACAGAAGGGCCAATACAAGGAACAGCTTGAAATGTAGCCCAGACCCTTTCTCCTCACTCTCTTGTTTGCTGTCACTTACCCCTCACATGCCACACATATGCTGCATTTATGCCTGGGAATGTCTATCCCCGGCATAGGGCAGGGATGTTGCTTTAGCACGACCCTTCCCTACCTAGGCTTCAGAGGCCAAGCTCCAGCGCGAGCTGCACCTTCAAAGCACTATCTGCACAGCTTTCTTTAGAGCATCAACCCCAACCCCGCTAGCCCGAGCCTGTGGACCCAGGCTGGGAGGCTTGCTCCTGCCCACCCCAAAATGCTACGTAGGCCCCCAGGGGGAGTTTGCTTTAGCCCTTCACAAATAACTGGATGGTGGCTGTGAAAATGTCTTTTTTCCCTTTTGTATTTCCCAATCAGGCAGGCCCGGAAGCAGTAACAGAGATCAAATCGTTCAGTCAAGGGCATTGGGTGGGAACAGCCACAAAAGAGGAATGTACACAATTAAACCATTCTATCCAAGCATCCAATCTCCCTGCGCCAGGGGGGCAGGAGGCCCAAATCCTTTGTGTCCAATTTAATGCTCAATTGAACCAGGACAAAGCCTAATGCTGGAGCGCTGGGCCAGTAGTTCCATCCCAACACTGCATCTGCCTACTGCTTAAATTTGTAATGAAAGAGGTGCAAGGGCTCAAGCAATTTTTTTATATTCATAACTGACGCAGCAAACCCGGAGGTGCCTGGCTATGAACTGCCAAGCCCAGAGGTGCCAGGGCTCAGCCCTGACAGGCCCTGGCACAAATTAAGCATTGCATATGCCCCTTTCTCCCTTCCTCTGCCATGGAAAAGTACTGGCTTGTGTCGTATCTTCCACATTTGCTCTGAGCAAGCCAGACTAACCCCAAAGCAGCCTCGAGAAAGGAACAATCCTCGAGGGAGGCCACCCAAATGAAATGACAGGCTTGTAAAGGCGAAGTACAGCGGGCTGGGAACTAAATAAATGCCTCTTCAGAGTTGGCTGCAATGGGTTACTAGGTGACAAGGCTAGTCTCCGGGTGAGGCAGATGTCCTCTGGAGATTCCTAGAGAAATCCCCTCTCCAGCGGTGGGGAGAACCAGACCCTTGCTCACCTGCTTACACGGATCGAGGAGGCTCAGTTGGCTACAGTCCAGGAGCATTCGGGAAGGAGGAAAGGCTCTTTGTAAAAAGTGAGCAATTGCAGTGCTGAAGAGTCAAACTCTGCCTTTCGCCATAGAACAGGGGCAGGAGCAGCAGCTGAGCAAGCTTTTCCACCCCACCCTACCAATGTTCCTCTTCCCTGACCTGGAAGGATAAGCTGTGAGAGCGCAGTTTACTATAGAGTCCAAAGGTTGACTGGACATGGACACTCAAGAGATGTCTATCATCTCAGTGTTTCTACTGCAATGTTGATTCCTGTCTACTAGGAACTTGACTGAGTGCATCAAACAGCCAGCAGATGGCAATCACTCTTCCACGTGATGGGAAGGCAAACATCTATGCCAGGGATAGGCAACCTTTCAGAAGCGGTGTGCCGAGTCTTCATTTATTCTCTTTAATTTAAGGTTTCGCGTGCCGGTAATACATGTTAACGTTTTTTAGAAGGTCTCTCTCTCTAAGTCTATATTATATAACTAAACTATTGTTGTATGTAAAGTAAACAAGGTTTTCGAAATGTTTAAGAAGCTTCATTTAAAATTAAATTAAAATGCTGATCTTATGCCGCCAGCCTGCTCAGCCCACTGCCAGCCTGGGGTTCTGTTCACCTAGGCCTGCAGTGGGCTGAGCAGGGCGACTTGAGGTCAGGGCAGAGGGCTGGGGGG